ATTTCGCTACTTGCAGTTTGTAATCTGTGTTCTTTGTCATTTGTGTTCAGTCTTCTCAGTCGTCTTTATAAGTTTATTTAAATTTTCAGTGGTACAGAAGTAACGGTGCGATCGACTGACATCATACAGACAGGACAGATGCTCTTTCTGCAGTAGACATGTGCAGTAGAGCGAGTGACAGTGGTACAGGAGGAACAGCAGCAGAGACTAGAGACAGACACAAGACTAGAGCCTCTCAGGGTGAAAATTTTAATATATAAGTCGCACTGTAGTATAAATTATACTCCAGTGCGACTTATATATTCAAATTTTCACCCAAACCATGAAAAAACTTATAGTCCGAAAAATACAGTACATGGACGGACACCAGCGCGTTTCGCCCACCAAAATGGTCTTTGTCAGGGCACCTGGAGTTGTGTTTTGTTTCAGACAAATCCTGCATATTCTTCTCACGTTCTTCTCTCAAACTGAAAACATTGTCTTCCACCTTGTCATGTTGTTGGTGATACAGGAAGTGCTCCACTGTGTTTTTAAACTCCATACACCATCACTAGAATCATTTGGTTCATTTCAACTCTGAAATTGCCAATCTCTATGGAACTAAAAATAAAATGTCGCTGTTAACTTGAAAATACTGCTTCATGACATCACAAGATAAAACAGAGCACTTTGAGCTTTGGACATACAGATAGATGAATAATGCTGGATTATTGAAACATGTTATTTTGAAGCGGTAACAACATTATAACTGATAAGAAAATAGCGTGATATGGGCCTTTTATATATAAGCCGTAGCGTATACTTCACAGAGAGACAAAATCTTTCAAATTAAAATTCATTTGTAACAACATTTTTTGTGTGAATAACAAACACAGCAAACAAAAGAGTCCTATTTTTTTTCTTTAACAATTTCACTCAAAGGTAGAAGCACGCTCCTTTTCATTCCTATTTAGAAACGTTATTAAGTATTATCACTCCATTCTCAGCCGGCCACAAACCAAGATCTTCTCATTCACACCTCTACACTTTTAATTTACTCGGGCTAATAGGAGTCTGCCGTCCCCCCCTCTCCTCGGCTCACTTTGAAAGATGAAACTGTCTCGCTCTCTCCTCTGTTTCGTTTCAGTCTCATTCCTCAGACAGGGCTATCCAAGCGTCTCATTTAGTCTCTACAGGCTTCTGCTCGGGCTTCCACTTTCACTTATTAGTCACTGGACTTAAGTGGAGTGCTCTGTCAGGCATTTACTTCTATAGTTTGGGCCACACTATGAGTTCGTGGTTGAGAATGGGCTCATTTATCAGACTTTGGTCAGCTTTGCACTGTTATCTGAATTTTGTTGTGAAAATCTGATCTGTTGGGCAAGTTACTTCAAAACTGTAATGTGGTATTTATGACTTGTTACTGTCATTTCACAAGTAATTTGTTACATATCAATATTACTGTATTTAAAATGTAAGGCAGTACATGACTACTGCAGTACTTTCAAGTTACTCTCACCAAAATAGCTGTCGCTGATTGTTATTTGACAATCAGCCACCGAAGATGACAAACTTTTGCACCATATGTGGACTGCACTGAGGACTGAACCAGGACTGAACCAGGACTGGATTGAGGACTGAACCAGGAGGACTAAACCAGACCTAGACCAGGACTAAACCAGAGCTGAACCAGGACTGGACCAGGTCTAAATTAGAACTGATCTGGGACTAAACCAGGTCTAAACCAGGACTAAAGCAGGACTGAATTGAGGACTGAACCAGGACTGAACCAGGACTTAATTGAGGACTAAACCAGGAGGACTAAACCAGGACTTATTCTGGACTTAAGAGAGAGGAACCCTGAGCTCGTGGAGCAGTCGGAGCTCCTTTCACCTGTGGTCACCTGACGGTCTACGCCGGTGCGCCTCCGAGCCCGTCCTGACACTTAGTCGTGATTTAGCCCTGGTTTAGTCCTAGTTTAATCTTGTTTTAGTCTTTCGTGATTGTAATTCTTGAAGTCGTAACTTTTCAATCCGTATTCTGATGGATGCTTCAGTTAGAATGATTGTAATTCGTGTGTGATTTATCACAGGCACGGGCGGGTAACGGGTGGAATCTTAACGCGTCTGGTTTAATTTTGATATAATCATGGGTTAACGGGCTGGCGCGCTGCTGTACTGCACAGGTGCGGGTCTCCAAAAAATGGACCCGTGCAGGACTCTGGCTCAGTTGGTGTTTGTTTGTCCACTGATCTGAAGGTTGCTTTGGAATCCTGCTCTTGACACAAAAACATCAGTTGAGTGGTCACATCCACTGCGATGCACTTCCTGGTCCCACAGATGAATGCTGCCATTGTACACTTAACTCCTTGTGCCCCCAATGTCTGTGTACACTGGTGTATGAGTGCGTGTTTGAATAGGATGAGAATACCTTGATGTAAAGTGCTTTGAGTGCCTTGAAGGTGAAAAAGCACTGTATAATAATGTGACCATTTAACAAAAACAAAACTAGTTCATTTTAAACATTTGCAGTGGTCCAAAAGTCTGAAGATTCCTCATTTACCTTGTGCATTTCCAGCATCTTAATTCATTTCTTTCTAATTAGTCGCAGACGGCCCACAGTACACTTGTTTTGACCTCAAAATCAGCTTACACAAGACACATTTAGCTCAAATACAAGGGAAAAAATAAGTTTCAGACTCTTTAGTGTTTCTTTAAGCGTCTGAGAAAGTTTTGTGTGTTTTGATAGTTGTTAAATCTGGGGGATTATTTGGGCTCACTCAGGATTATCTTGGATTGAATTATACAAGTTGTACAACTGCAATAAATTGTAACTCTGGGTTAAGAGTCCTATTAATAGTAAAGTGGAAGTCTTGCACTTCTAGTTGTGAATAATATACTGCTCAGACATGGAATTTTATCATTTACTTTCATTTATTTATAGGTAAGCACTGATAGACCACACTAAAGGTGCACTATGTAACTTTCTGGTTGGGGGTCCGTCACCTGCTTGTTTCTATGGATATGTTATTGCTCTGCCTGGAATGTTCCACAGTATTAAGACATTAAACAGCTCTACCTTACATTTATTATATAACAGATGTTTTTATAGCTCAAAAATACCTAGAAAAACTGGTATTCTGACTGACTGTGAGCAGGGTTGCCTCTCCACAGATCTGACCTGTAACTTGTAACTTGGTCAAATAAGTCAGTCAAAAAGACCTTAGAAAGATTCAAATTAGATATTGATTACAGCTTTGATTTCTGTCAAAACAAAATTGAAACAATCACTCACCTGTTCCACCATTGTACACGCAGCAGAAACATCTGGACCAACGTACAGCAGCTCATCCAAACCAAAACATGTGATCAGCCTCCCGGGAAGTGACGTCCTGCTGTTTTTCAGCAGCTCCTCCATCCCTAAAGATCTCTGTTTCCTCATTAAGACTCTGATCATGCTGGCCAAATATCATATACACAAAACAAAATGGACTCAAAATAAACCACATGGGCACCATTATAATAATGAAATACAACAATATTTCCAAACAATAAAGCAGGTCAAAAACAAAAAAGCTATTAAAACATACAATAGCTATAGGAAATACTTCTAACAGTACCACTCTCCCCTGCATCTTATGTTACAACTCCTCTTATTTGGTTAAGTGTACTTGGTTTTGTGGTCTTGTCTGGTTTTGTTGCTGTTTTTCTTTCTGTTTTTTTTTTTTTTTTTGCTCCCCTGTATAATTCACTAGCCAGGCTGGCGCCACCTTGTTAAGGAATCACTGGTCGGACCCAAATATGCAGAGGGAAAAAAAGTATTTTATTCACAAAAATAGTCTTGGCGGGGGGTTAGATTCCAGGGGAGGCACGACGGGTCCGGGTTGGCTGGAGATGGAGGCTGACCGGAGGCTTACAGAAACTGGTGGCAACGGGATGAGGCTGGCTCCAAACGAAGTGCACTGGGATGACGGAACGATCTGGCACTGGAGAGCAGGTCAGCAGGTCTTTTATTGTAGGAGATGATTACTTGATGAAGAACAGGAGTGGAGCTCAGCAGGTGCATGACTGGGGCCCGCCCAGGAAATGCCAAACAAGGTAAGGATATACAGAGGGAGGGAGCAGGGAAAGGAGGAGCAGGGAGAAACCCTCACACACCTAGTACCTCTGTTCAATTTCATTTCTCTCCAGCGACTGAGTCAGGAATCAGAATACACTAGACGGTTCACAAAAACCTCAGAAGTGCGAGTTCGGGCACCAGCCAATCAGCGAAGAGTCATACATTCTGTGTTGGCAACGATTCCCGAGATCGAGGATTTAAAGCCGGAACAAAGAGAATGTTTGGTGAATTTTATCAAGGGGAAAGACGTTATTGCAATTCTTCCTACGGGATTTGAGAAAAGCTTAATATACCAGATAGCCCCGATACATATGTCACGAGGATTGGAGCGATTGGTTAAATGCAAAAAGTACCTGCCTACCGTTGAGCGAACAAATCCTAATGCAGACGGTTTCCACAAAATGAAACCTTCTGATGAATGAGGCTAATAATTGACCGCATATCACCCCTGTATGTTGTTGTATGTCTGTGTCTTTGATGTCCCTGTAGCTGAACTAACTTGTCACACTGTGAAACATCCCAGACAAAGCAATAACATCTCAAAGCGTTTGACAGACCCACCACCAGAAAAGCTACACAATGCACCTTTAAAGTTCATCTGCTGCAGCTGGTTTTGTTTCTGTCTTTGGGTCATTCCAAAGTTTTCCCACTGTGGGTGTCCAGTGGCAGGTTGATTCACTGTAGCCATGAATCAGCCTTACACTTCAGTTTTTAGGAAAGCTCATTTTCAGAAGGCACAAACAACTGATGCTGAATATTTTTAATAATTATCTGAAAAGATTAATTAAAATTAATTAAAAGTAGGAGTCAGAAAAGGCTTTATTGTCATTTTCAGTGAAAGAAATTCACAATAAAAGTAAAATATACAACAAGATTACCTAGAAAGTATGTATTAAAGGTGCACTGTGTAACTTCGTCAAATACTTTTCTTTATGGAGACATTATTACTTTGTCTGGAATGTTTCACAGTATGGCATTAAGCTTGGCCTTTCTATCTTCATGAAAACCAAATCAGACCAAGACCCTGTTTACACTAAAATGAATCCGTGTATCACCGTATCAGTGTATCGGAAACGCGTCCAGACTTGTCGTTTCTGTGTTCGCAATCAAAGCGTTTCCTGTCCACACAGTAACGCAAAACCACCTGAAACGCTAGTCACGTGATAGGCTGGTGTCACGTCGTCACAACATCCCGACGTCACGTGAGCGGTAAAAACAAGGAAGTCTGAAGTTGCAGCAGCTGATTTTGAGCCGAGGGAGATGGCAAGTGTAAAAACAGTCTTTTTGCGGACCGACAATGAGTTGTTACTTAGAGTAAGACTGGATTTTAAGATGAGCATGGCGGCTCAGAGTAGGACTGACTCGTTTCTGTGTCGGCAAGCCTTCCCTATCCACACAACTTTGAACATATTTGTTTATGATTTACAGAAACGAAACTTAAAACTGCATGGCTAATTTGCATAAACTAAGCACTCAAAAAACAGCTCGCTATTGTGCGCTGATGTGGTTCAGTTTCTGTTGGACTAAAGGACACGACTCGGTGGATTATATGTGTTCTTTCTGTGACAGAGGGGTGTTCTGCTAATGGTGAGTCTGTTCTGTTCTTCTATTGCGTTGGAGATGGTTCATGTTAAACTTTTCAGAGATTATACGTCTGCAGGTCATACACACAGACCGTATATATGAATGGACATATATTCTAGCTTCTTAACGTTTTGGCACTGAAATAGCTACGTCCACACAGTGCCAGATCAGATCTGTACACAAACAAATTCGTTGGGGCTGGCGGCACCAGATCGTTCCATCTCTGGAGCCGTTTTCAATCAAATTAGAGTGGACGAACACTGCATCCACAACGAAAACAACTCGAATATGTACTAGTGTGGATGGGGCCCAAGTTAGAGGTTAGAGGTCAGATCAGAGTCATAATTCCTGTTTTTCTTGGTATTTTAGAGCCATAAAACCACCTGGAATTGAATAAATGTAAGGTAGAGCTGTCATACTGTGAAACATTCCAAGCAGAGCAATGACATCTCCATAGAAACAACACAACACACAACACAACACACACACAACGCACCTTTAAGATAACAATACAGATATAGCAGTATAACATAGAAGTACTTCTCTAACCCAAAAAGTAAAAACATGAAGTCCAATGCCGTTCTTTTGTACTGAGCATAATGGAGAATCTGTCTCATATTCATTCTCTTTTGTGGTCTCCCTTTGTGGCTAATTGCAGATATGTCCTTGCTGTCATTGCTTTAAAGACACCATGTGGACTTTGTGATAATCATAACACATCCACCCTCAAAGCAGCTGCTCTTCTCCGATTGTACACTTTGTCTTGTGTGCTGTCTTGAGGTTTGAGACTGGCACGTGATCAAATCTGGCAAAATGTTGGACTCCATGCAGCTTAAAGGAACAGGATGTGACATTTTGACCTGTATGACCTATATACAAAGTAAACATGTTCAAATCAAATGTAGCTTTAACTGATCATATAAACTAGTCAATCACTCATTTTTATCACTTTATTTATCTCTAGTGACAAGTTCCAATTCTGGAAGTGGACAAAGTGAATGTAAAGGTGCCAGCTCAGTCAAAATCGGTAATATTTCATGTTTATTATTATTTATTTTACTCAAAATAATGTGGAATCATGTTATTAACATTAACGCCATTCTTAATCATCTACAGAACATAAATCATAGAACACATGAACAAGGACTGAACCAGGACTAAACCAGGACTAAACCAGGTCTAAACCATGACTAAACCAGAAGGAATAAAACAGGACTAAACCGGGACTTGAACCAGGACTAAACCAGAACTGAACCAAGACTAAACCGGGACAAAACCAGGACTGAACTAGGATTAAACCAGGACTGAACCAGGAGGACTAAAACAGGATTGAACTGGGACTAAAACAGAACTGAACTAGGACTGAGCCAGGACTAAACCAGGTCTAAATCAGGACTAAACCAGGTCTAAACGAGAACTACACCAGAACTAAACCAGGTCTAAACCAGAACTGAACTAGGACTGAACCAGATCTAAACCAGGTCTAAACTAGGCCTGTAACGATAACAGATTTTGCTGGACGATTAATTGACCAAGAATTTATTGCGATAAACGATCATGATGACATTTTGAGACCAATTTCAATTATTATAATAATTATTATTATTATAATAACCATGGAATAAAAATGCAAACACACCCTTTCAAAGATCAATAAACCTTACTTTCTTAAGAACATTTAACACAAGAACTGTAAAACAACCAAAAACAACAGACCTAAATAAAACAGACTTGTTAACATAGGACTCGCCTGATGTAGTCTGGCTTACAGCGAGGACTTGTTAACAAAACTGCACTTGAATAAACCATTGCTGAAACAAATACAACCAAAGCAGTAAATAAAATGGATTATTAAGTCTCTGTAACAAAATTGTCCTTAAAAGTGATTTTAGTGATTGACTTAGATTGGTACATAATGGCCACTCTCTTTATGGTTGCTGCTGTTGCCTCGTCATTTGGTCATTGTAAATGTTCGTATTAACCCGCGACACAGGATGCTGTTTTGCTATGAGGGAACCACTGTCCGGGGGCGGGGCTAGTTGTGTCGCTTCGGGTTTGGGTTTATGGGCTGCTGCGGTTTGAGACATTTCTTCTCGTCGTTTGCATTGCGCTCACTGCATTTGACGCACGTGGCTGTTGAGACGTGTCCCACTCGTCAGTGTTGATTCGGCATCGTGACTTGTTTTGGCACACGGAGATGAACTGTTTTGTCACTCTGACAGCGGCGTGATGATAAACACAGCGCACGTTGGTTCAAACGTCATTACACTTGTTAAACAAAAGGAGTCAGAGAGCCAGAGAAGCCTTCTAACATTCACTCTCTTTGAGAGCGAGGAAAACAAACAAATTTAAAAAAAAAAAAGTTATCAAGCTCGTTAAAAGTTATCATATGATTAATTGGCAAGGCAAGGCAAGTTTATTTGTATAGCACAATTCGTACACAAAGTAATTCAAAGTGCTTTACAGAATAAGAAATACATTAAAATCATAATAAAAACAAATCAAAACATAAATAATCATGAAGATTAAAATTAAAAAAGAGACACATAAATTGGAGAGAAGAGTGCAGAATGTTTCAGTTATATGCACAGTCAACAGAAATGTTTTGAGCCTGGATTTAAACAGCGTCACAGAAGAGTCTGTCTCACATGTTCAGGAAGACTGTTCCAGGTTGATTTATTGATTATCGTTACAGGCCTAGTCTAAACCAGAACTAAACCAGGACTAAACCAGGATTAATCTTGGACTTGGAGCGAGAGAGAGAACCTCAAGCCCACAGTCGGGCTTGAGGTTCTCTGCACCAGTCCTTTCACCTGCGGTCACCTGACGGTCTACGCGTACCGACACTCAGTCCTGGTTCAGTTCTGGTTTATTCCTGGTTTAGACCTGGTTCAATCCTGGTTTAGACCTGGTTCAGTGCTGATTTAGACCTGGTTTAGTTCTCGTTTAGTCCTGGTTCAGGCCTGGTTTAGTCCATGTTTAGACCTGGTTACCTCCGCCAAGGAGGTTATGTTTTTGCCGGCGTTTGTCTGTTTGTTTGTTTGTTTGTCTGTTAGCAACATAACTCAAAAAGTTATGGACCAATTTTGATGAAATTTTCAGGATTTGTTGGAAATGTGAAAAGGAAGAACTAATTTCATTTTGAGGGTGATCTGGAAGAAATCCTGGATTCTGGATCACTTTTAAATTTGAATTAACATTGTGGTAAATGGGGCCAAAAATTTTGTTTCTCAATATCTTGGTTAATTATTGACCAAACCCCATGAAATTTGACTCAGGGATGGACAATGGGATCCTCTTTCATATTCCAAAGGCTGATCCAGATCTGATCCAGAAGACTGATTTTATCGCAATTTATATAAAAAATGGGGGTAGTCCTTGGCGGAGGTCTGCGCTCTCTGAGTGCTTTTCTAGTTTAGTCCTGGGGTTCAGTTCTCAGTTTAGTCCTGGTTCAGTCCTGGTTCAGTCCTGGTTTAATACTGGTTTAGTCCTGGTTTAGTCCTACTTTAGTCCTGGTTTAGTCCTGGGTTCAGTCCTCAGTTTAGTCCTGGTGTAGTCCTAGTTTAGACTTGGTTCAGTCCTGGTTTAGACCTAGTTCAGTCCTGGTTCAGTTGTGGTTTATTCCTAGTTTAGACCTGGTTCAGTCTTGGTTTAGTCCTGTTTTAATCCTGGTTTAGTCCTGGTTTAGTCCCAGTTTAATCTTGGTTTAGTCCTGGTTCAATCCTGGTTTAGACCTGGTTCAGTGCTGATTTAGACCTGGTTTAGTTCTCGTTTAGTCCTGGTTCAGTCCTGGTTTAGTCCATGTTTAGACCTGGTTCAGCCCTGGTTCCCTCATGTCTCAGGTCACTTTTACTGCAGACATCATGAGCCTATGCAGGTTGTTTTCTCCGTTGACAGTATCTCCGGTTTGACATTTAAGTTGGTTATTTTATATGTGTTATTTTTTTATATCTCACATCAGGAGAAGTGGGTGGACGGCGTACCCCCGAGTACCACGCCCACTACACCCCTGCCCATGATGTTTAGCTCCAGTCAAATGAAGCTCACCGAGGTTGTCGGTATTCCGACAGGAGTACCATAGCAACCAAAGAGCCAATCAGTAGTGAGCCTGTTGAAATGACCACGTCTTTTAACCCTCAGATCCTGATTTACTGACACAATATATAAAAAAAAAAAAAAAAAACAGGATCACGTAGAGCGGTTTAATACAAACATTTTACGAGCCTGAAAAAGCCTGACAGCAGCAGTTACAGAGAGAGGGGTGACAGTTTTTCAATAGAAAGTCGATGGAGCCAGAAATTGAGGAAATTCTGGAGGTTATGAGCTTTCACATGAGGCATATCTTGAAAAAAAAATGGTTGTGACTGTTGTATACCTTTTTTAAAACTGTAAGAGCACATTCTTCATAGAGTTCCTTTAACAAAAGATAAAATATTAGTTACGTTATAGTTATGTACATTTAGAAAACAGTACAATTTTATCAGACACAAAGCAAACAGTGTGTATTTTAATCCACGAAACGTCTGGAAATGTGCAGATTCATAGCCACAAAATGATAGAAAAAGAAAAACAACATCTGCACCTACTGCTTTATTCTGGAACTCAAATCACAATCGAGAGCCAGGTGTATCTTTGGCAGGCCTACAATCTGTCAAACCCACTTTTGGTCTTCTCGGCGCGGGGAGTGAGTAGCAGCCGTCTCCCTGTCACCGCCTCTCTTCAAACTCTGAAACACAGTTAATCTTGTTACCATTGACTGACACAATGAAAGCCCACCTACCAACTCCGCTCAATCAATCAACTCCGCAGCAAAACCGCAAATTAGCTTCGAGACAATTGGAAAATAAAGTGTGTTCCTAGCACAGACTGTATAAAGAAGTGGACTATTGGAGTTTGAATTTATTTACGGGCAAAATATCAAAAGCGAGTTAATATGAACGTTTTATATCTAAATTGACTCTCATGAGCTTTAAGCCGTGTTATAATCTTGTTACTTCATCAAAAACATACCTGGAATTGGGTTTTGTTTCATTCACACGTTCAAAATGCTCAGTTCCACCTTGTGATGTCATGAAATGCAGTGGTGTAATGGGGATTTTTTAAGTGGGGGGAACATGTGGAGTCATGTTATTAACATTAACTCTGTTTATAATCACCTACAGAACTTAAATCATAGACTACAACACATGAACCAGGACTAAAACAGGTCTAAACCAGGACTAAAGCAGAACTGAACCAGGACTAAACCCGGACTGAACCAGGACTAAAACAGAACTAAACCAGAACTCAACCAGGACTAAAATAGGACTAAACCAGGACTGAATCAGGACTAAACCAGGGCTAAACCAGGACTGAACCAGAACTAAATCAGGACTGAACCAGGATTAAACCAGGAGGACTAAACCAGAACTGAACCAGGACTAAACCAGAACTAAATCAGGACTGACCCAGAACTGAACCAGGACTAAAATTGGACTAAGCCAGGACTGAATCAGGACTAAACCAGGACTGAATGAGGATTAAACAGGACTAAACCAGGACTGAACCAGGACTGAATCAGGACTAAATCAGGACTGACCCAGAACTGAACCAGGACTAAACCAGGAGGTCTAAACCAGGACTGAACCAGGACTAAAATCAGGACTGAACGAGGATTAAACCAGGAGGACTAAACCAGAACTGAACCAGGACTAAATCAGGACTGACCCAGAATTGAACCAGGACTAAAGCAGGACTAAACCAGGACTGAACCAGGACTAAACTAGGACGAAACCAGAACTGAACCAGGACTAAACTAGGAGGACTAAACCAGGACTGAACCGGGACTGAAACAGGACTAAACTACAACTGAACCAGGACTGATCCAGGACGACACCAAGACTACACCAGCACTATACTAGGACTAAACCAGGTCTAAACCAGGACTAATCTTGGGCTTGAGAGAGAGAGAACCCCGACCTCGCAGAGGAGGGTGTCTGCAAAGTGGGATTGGGTCCTCCTGGTTTAGTCCTGGTTCAGTCCTGGTCCCTCATGTCTCAGGTCACTATAGAACAGTCGTGCAGATATCATGAGCTTATGCAGGTTGTTTTCACCATTGGCAGTAGCTCCACTTTGACATTTAAGTTGAATCTATTTTATATTTGTTATTTTTTATTTTATTTTATTTTTTAAATCTCACGTCAGGAGAAGTGGGTGGACGGCGTACCCCCGAGTACCACGCCCACTACACCCCTGATGAAACGGTGTTTTTAAGTTAACAGCTCCTTTTACCTTTTGTTCAGGAGAGACTGACAATTCCAGGGCTGAAATTCTCCAAATGATTCTAGTGCAGATGTATGAGTTTAAAGAGAGTTTATGAACACACTTCCACATGACATCACAAGGTGGAAGAGAACATTTTCAGTTTGAGTTTGTGTGTTAAACATGTGAATGAAACAAAACACAACTCCAGGTCTGTTTGTGATGAGGAAACAACATTAGAACAGATCAGAAAATCACAGAGACAGCGATAATTTTTCAATGTTAAATCAATTAGAGTCGATGGAGCCGGAAGTGTGCCCATGCTCACTTCCTATTTAGAATCTAGCAGGTTGGCAATCTCCATTTATACAGAGTCTATAGTTCTTACCTTCTTGCATGCACATTTCCTCGTTGGTCATCTGCATTGTTCTCGATGGTGCATACTCTGAACAGTTCGATATCTCTTGTGAAAAAGCGAGCAATTTTGCTAGCTGGACTGCAACTTCGGTTTTCACTGGAACCGGCGGAGGTTGTTTGGTCATTTGCTCAGACTTCTCTACGTTCTCCCCGAACGCGGCAACAGAAAAGGATGTACTATTAGTAGGACGCAATTCAACTGTACCCAAGTCCTCTTTGGTCACCGGCAAAGCAGTTCCGGACGATCTAAGAAAAGCCAAAGAGTCCGAGTTGTGTCTCAGATGTCGAGATGTTTTTCCGCCTTCGTACTCGAGGAAATTGGGGTTAGAACGGCCTTGGTATTCTCGTTCGCGGTACATATCTGAAAGAGGGATCTGAAGCGAAAGCCGACCAGCTCGAGGTTGCGATGATTCGTTGCCAGGTTTGCGTCGGATCTTCCAGCCGAGGGGGTCAGGACCTGTAATCGTGGAGGTCTGGATGAGAGGCGCGGACGGACGAGCTGTGATGATTGGAAATGGAGGGACGATCTGGGGTGTTATCTCGAAAACTGGACATGAGTAGCATTTGCTGGTTGACCTTATGGCAGTTTGAGGTCTTGGCAGAGAGATGCTTCGCTTTGGAGGTTCGGGCTGGCTTTTATTTTTCTTCACAGTTATAACAGCAGAAGTTGAAGGCTGGACGAAGTCTGTGGACCACTGATGATCATGAGAACTCTGGCTATACAATCCCATGTCTGAAAGAGGCCGTTGTTTAGAATGTGGTCGTGCATCCTCTCCTCTTCCTGTACGATTGGTTTTGGATTTTTCCATCGAGATCTTCGAGCGATTGAACAATTAATAAAAATCTATGTTCAGTTCTTTTAAAAGCCAAGAGGTGAAGTGCTTCTGAGTTGGAGGACTGCAGAAAGAGAATGACAGTTGGCAGTTTTAATATGAGGAACTAAACCCCTGACTGACTTTTATTTGCAACATTTCTTGTTAGATTTCGCAAGTGTTGCTTTAGTAACCATGACAACAATGGTGTTTTGTGCGATGTTGTTGAATAGTAGTCATATGCTTAAAGGGCCCATGTTACTTTTTTCTGCTGTTTCCATATCAGAAACAGACCTGGACACACATTTTTAACTCAAACCCTGCTGCGTTTTGCTCTCAAACAGAAAATACTCTGTACCACCTTGTGATGTCACGTGGTAATACTACAAAAAGGGCTCTGCTGTGTTTTTAAACTCCACACATCTCTACTAGAATCATTTGGATTCAAGGTAAAAGGAGCTGTTAACTTGAACACCAGCACATCATGACATCACAAGGTAGAACAGAGCATTTTGAGCTTTGGTGAATTCGACTAAAAACAAGTTCACACAAATATGTCTGAATGTAACAAACATTAACATTATAACATGGCTTAAATGTGCATTGTGTAACTTTTCTGGTGGAGGGTTTGTCAAATGCTTGTTTCCATGGAGATGTTATTGGTTTGTGCAGAATGTTTCACAGTATGGTAATGATGAGATGAGATGTTAATGATCATCATTACCATCATCATAATAAATCTTTATTTATAAAGCACACCTCTACAAACATGTTCTGAAATACATTGGATTCTTGGATCGGTTTATCAGTTCAGATTTCAGTCTTCTCTCAAATGTTAATGCTCCAGTTGTTGTTGACAATAGGGCTGCATAATACATTGCAAAAGTATCAATATCGCAATATTGGCTGATGCAATATTCGTTTAAAACAAGGTTTACAAAGTGCTGCACAAGCAGCAATGAACAATACAGAAAGCATAAAAATAGTGCACAGAAAGCATACCAAAACAGACCGAGTTACAGGTCAGTTCTATGGCGAGGCGACCCCACTCACAGTCACAATGTCTGTTTTTCCAGGTATTTTTCTGCTATAAAACCACCTGTCAATGAATAAATGTAAAGTAGAGCTGTTTAATGTCATATTGCATATTGGTCTTATAACATACCAGACAGAGCAATGACATCTCAACAAGTAGGTGATGGACCCAGTTACCCAATGCAACTAAAGCTAATTCAGGACTTTTAAAAGCTGTAAGCTCAAATGGCACACATATTCTTTAGTTGTTTTTTTTTTGTTTTATCTTTTACTGTGCATCTGACGTAAATGGTAAGTGAGACCAAAAAAAACAAAACAAAAAACATCTACTTAAATATTGCAGTACTGCAGTACTATTGCAGTAAAACAAGCAGGTGGGGGTCCGTCACCTGCTTGTTTCTATGGTGATGTCATTGTTCTGCCTGATATGTTCCACTGTATGACATTAAACAGTTCTGCCTTACATTTATTCAATTACAGGTGGTTTTAAAGCTAAAAAAAACTAGAAAAACAGACATTCTGACTGTGAGCGGGGTCGCCTCTCCACAGATCTGACCTGTAACTTGGTCTGGTTTGGTCTCCCTGAAGATAGAAAGGTTTAATGCCGTACTGTGAAACATTCCAGACAAAGCAATAACAAAAAATTTAAAATAAAAATAAGCATTTGATGGATCCTCCACCAGCAAAGTTACACAGTGCCTCTTTAAAGTACCAAAAACTGTGTGACACTGTGTTTTCTTTCTCGGAATCCTCCACCACCCCTCTGCCCTCAAAACCACAACTTCCTTAATTCTGGTCAGATATAGTGCTTCTCTTAAACACTCACACAAAAACAAGCTCGATGTACACTTAAATGCTCAGAGCTGCACAAAGTTGCACTGATGACTCTCTGTTTTTCTTCTAGCAGTTTCCTTCAAAAGCATCTTAAAAAGCAGCTGTTTTTTTTTCTTTTTTCTTGTATTTCTCAGCATGTTTTCTCTCCCAAGGTTTTACCGATGAAACAAAAGCAAGAAAGCTCACGCACAGAAGAGGTTGAGAAATAAGTATATATATAAAAAACAGACAAACACATATTTCAATTAGTGGGTGGAGTATTAGAATCACAGTGGTACAATTAATTTAATAGTGGTTTTTTTGTTTTTTTTTAGTTAGAAAAACATGGTTATTTATTTTTTATTTTTTATTCATAGTCTCAGTGTTAAACCAATCTTCATCATACCAGATAGACAATAAAAGTATAAATTTGTTGTAATCAGTTACTTAGACAAAAAATAAAAAATAAAAAAATAAGCACGGTGCTATTATTATATAAAGTGAGACTAAACGCTTAACTCCGCCTACAATCACATTTCAAATACAGCTGCTAAACTGGGCGGGGCCTGGAGGACTAAAGGGGAGTGAGGGAGGAGGAGGGCACGGGGTCTAGAGTTATAAGAAACACTGTGATTGGTCTAAGTCCCCATCCACACTAGTTCGTTTTCGTTGCAGTGTTTGTCCACACTAATCCGATGGAAAACAGCTCCAGAGATGGAACGATCTGGTGCCGCCAACTCCCACGAATTCATCGGAGTACAGATCTGATCCGGCACTGTGTGGACGCCTGAAAACCCTGATACACTGATGTAGGAGCTCTATTTGCCGTCCTTATTGGACCACGTCACTGTGACTTGCGCCTTCCTGATTCGCTGGGTTTGTGACATTGGTCATGTGACGCTATTGTGGAAAACAGTTTAAACAAACCAGAGAGAAACAGGAAATAGCATAGCTAGAACTACTTCTAGAACTGCTAGTACACAGTCCACGAAAAGACTGTTACGGTTGCCATCTTCCTCGGCTCGAAGTCAGCTGCTTCAACTTACTAGCGTTCCAGGGTGAAGTATAGTTCTATAGGTCTATGCGTATGACCTGCAGGCGTATAATCTCTGAAAAGTTTAACATGAACCACCTCCAACACGATAGAAGGGTGTTCTGCTGATGGTGAGTCTGTTCTGTGCTTCTGTCACAAAAAGAACATATATATTCCACTGAGTCATCTCCTAAAGTCCGACAGAAGTCGATGATGTCAGGGCACAAGGGGCGAGTAGTTTTTTGAGCTCTTAGTTTATGCAAATGAGCCATGTGGTTTTAAGTTATGTTTCTGTAAAATGTAAACAAATATGTGCAACGTTGTGTGGATAGGGAAGACTTGTGGACACAGAAATGACGTGTCTGGATGCAAATCGTTTCTGATAGGGTGATACAGTGATTCGTTTCAGTGTAAACGTAACCTAAGAGGCATTCGTACTTCAGACTCAGCCCCTGCAGTCAGGTGTTAATATCAAAAACACCTTGCTGTATGTGATGTCACATAGTACTTGAAATTGCAGTTTTATTGCAGGATTTCGAATGACATCACGGCATTCTCCGACCGAACATTTAAACTCCGCCCAGAGCAACATTTCAAACAGAGCTGCTAAATAGGACTAAAAACCAACTGAGGGTTTTGAGGGTTGGAGCTACACCGTGATTGTTCTAATATTTACTCAATTCTGCCCCTGCAGCCAGTTGTTTGTAATCAGGGCAGTCATTTGTGATGTCACCAACTACTTTGCATAGGCCACCAAAAGCAGCACAAACGTAGATTTAGGTGTTTTTGACCGGAAAGCTGCAAATTGACCTACTGTAGTCTGCATTAAAGTTGTCAAATATGACTAGGAACTGTAGATAATGCTAAAACAGACTAGTAGTAGAAGTAGTAGTAGTAGTTTCTATCTTCAATGGTTTCAGACATCACAGCATTCTCTCGGACAATACTAATTAAAATTGTTAAAATGCAAAAAGATGCGGTGAGTTCTTGGGTTTAGTCAATTATTGAAAATACCTGGATTAACATTTTGGATATTTCATCACAAAGTACAAAGTAATCAATAGGAAAAACTGGCTCTTGCCCCCCATCTGAGAGTATGCCAGCATCACTTTCTAGAATCTGCAAACCACCAATATGTTTTTGAACAGAAAGATGCAAATTGACCTAGTTTATACTAAAATGGATAAAAAGGCAAGAGACAGCAGACAATACTTTTAAAAGCATGTATGGTTTAGTGACAAAGAAAGTGGTTTTAATGTTTAGTTCCACTTTAAAGGTGGCTTTTCAATTCAGAATCCAAATAATTCTTGTAAAGCAGGGGTCTCCAAACATTTTTCATCAAATGCTACGTATCAAAACACAGACAAAGCCGAGGGCAAATCGAGGGCCAGACTGGGGCTCAATACAGCGAATAATCAAAATATGCATACCATATTTTTTGGACTATGAGTCGCACTTTTATTCATGGTCTGGGTGGTCCTGCGTCTTGTATATGAAAATTTTCAAGCTCTCAGGGTGAGCGGGTGCTCTAGGCTTCTGTGCCAGTGTTTGTTGCTCCTTTTACTCCTGTACCACTGTCACTTGCCTCTGTCCTGTCTGTATCATGTCAGTCGAACCATTACTTCTGTACCACTGAAAATTTAAGATTTAAACAAACTCATAAAGACAAATGAGAAGACTGAACACAAATGCCCCCAAAAAGAAAATCATATTTTGCAGATTACTAACTGCAAGTAGCGAAAGCCTGGACTTCAGTGACGACTGAAACCATCCTGTTCATCCAGAAAGGCCGGAATAATTCCAACTGGAACTGATGCTGAGTCTGACGACAGCTACACAGAAGAGAAAGAGGCACTTATTTTACCTCTGGAGGTTGTGGATTTGCTCAGAAGTGACACCGAGGATGAAGAATTGAATGGACTTAGTGATTTGGAGTGAGATGGAGAGTTTGTTAAACTTGTTCTGTTCTGTTGTTTATGTTATAGTTTATCTGAAGAACTGTTCTTATGTGACATTAACATTAGTCTGTTGTTCTCTCTTCTATTGTTATTAATATAACTTGTCTTTCAAGATGAAATGTCAGTTCCTGATCTCTGATTTTTTAGAATAGATTTCCTCACAAAAAGTGTGACTTATAGTCCAGTGTGACTAATATATGGTTTTTTTTTTCTTCATTATGTATTTTTTGGCTGGTGTGACTTATATGCCAGACCGACTTATAGTCCAAAAAAATACGG